AAAATATAGTACAAAATTGATATAATTAACTAGTAATATAAAATATAATTTGAAATGTAATACAAAAGAATTTATTATATGAAATTACACGAAAATGTCCAAAATATTCATATGATGCAGAATCCACTATTTTTAGATCAGATATAGCTGATAAGTAATGATTAATTATATATTTGATTAATGATCAACATGCAATTACAAAGCTTATTAAGTTTTATATAATACAAACTATTATGACCAGAAGAATCGTTAATAAAATTATCGATTGTTTTTCAATTGTAGAAAAAAGATCTACTGGCGCATTTTGCGTAGATTTCCCCCAAAAATATTCGAAAAAAGGTAGACGAAGCTTCGATGTAAATTAACGATTAAATCATAAGATGAAACGCGATTTAAAATTTGAGAAAAAAACGCGACGAACAAAAAAAAAAATTAATTTGAATACTTTGCAACACACATAAAATAATATAAAGCATAATTTTAATTATCGAGGTACCCATTCGATTTGTCTCGAAGTTTTAAAATATACGCCCATTTTACATTACATTCATACATAATATGTATTTTGTAACATAATATTTAAAAAAAAAATAAAAGTTTTTTGAAATTGCATGTTAATTTGCGCATGTATTTTATTATACATATAGAATGATATATCTAAAAACTATCCAGAATACTATCCTAGAATGACGAGATGTTTAATACCTGCAAATGATTTCTTAAAAGAAACCAAGAAATAATCTTTTTATCCTCAGCACCTAGAAATATTTTCTTAAAAAAATTTTTGAAAATTATATTAAAATTAATTAATAAAATATATTCGTTCGTAAGTTGCAGATGGATCTTATAAGAATCGACAAGAAATAATTCTCCACGATGAAGATTGTTTCGACTCCTCACCGGTACGAACCACGCAACTTTACTAACGTTTACCTGACAAGAGGGTAAAAAGCTAATATTTAATCGTTATCTCAACATCGAATCTTCATATTTTTATTCAATAATTTTTCAATTAAATATTAGACGAATTAGCGATATCCGTGATATTTATAAATTTTGAAATACGATTTCCCCAATTTATCAACAATTTCTTGGTATGAAAATACAATCTCTTAACTTTAATAATAATATTTATAAATATTTTTAAAACACACAAATCTTTTATAATTAATTTTTACTTTTTAGTTTTTCTAAAAAGAATCCTACTTTTTAGTTTTCCTAAAAATCTTAAAGAATTAAATGATTAAAGGATTAAATGACTATTTTAAGTTAAGATAGTCTTAATAGTCCTAACAATCTTACTTTTGCTGGCTAAGCCAGCGGGAATTCGGGATCACTGAAATTTGGGGGAGTTTGTTTTAATTGCGTGCCCTACTCGCGTGCCCTACTCGCGTGCCCTATTCGCGTGCCCTATTTGCGTGCCCTATTTGCGTGCCCTACTTACGTGTCCTACATACGTGCTCTAATAGAATGCATCGGTAGCATTCTTGATTACGTGCCATTGCACGTAGAAATGCGCAAACACATGTATCGTCCAACATGTGTATTTTTGCGCCTTTTGACCACGATATTGGTCAACTAAGTTGCTTCCGTTGGGCCAGTTGGACCTACCTTTCGTTGATCCTGGCCATGTTCATTCTGGCTACATCTAGCCAGAGATATAGCTTCGACCTCTATCAAAGGGCAATAAAGGAGAAAAATTTCTTCCGTTGCCGGCTAATTATTATCGCCGGTGCATAAGCGTAATTTTACGCTCGTTTACGGTCGTGAGATATTACGACCGTTTGTCATGCATCGTTTTTAATATAATTTTACTTTAATTAATATAATGCCAAATTATCAATCAAAATTAATTGATTGAAATTCTTATAATAATATAATATTATTTATAATAATATATAATTTATATTAAAATAAAATTAATAAAACGTTTATATTTTATATACTTTAATACATCAATAATTTGGCTTTATATCAATTAAAGCAAAACTTTAATTAATATGATAATATAGATGAATGGGCTATGAAAAATTAGGATAATATCTGCGCAACTTGAAAATAAGTTTTTACTATTTTATACAATTAATAAAATTAATAGCTTCTTCATTAAACAAATTAAGTAAAATGTATCAATCGAAAAAAATATTTTATATTCTTTTCAAATTTTTATTTTAATTTATACCGTAAATTGTACCTGTAATATATTTTAATTGAAAAAATCTATTGAAAAAATCTATTGAAAGTTTTTTTATTTAATCTATTCTAGCCCATCCATTTTGAGGCAACGGATCTATCTACAATTTACAATCTACATTTGCATCTACAATCTACAAATCTACGAATCCGTTACCTCAAAATAAAATAAAGTTCATTACTCACCGGCACTGATGCGCAACAGCGGAGTTGTTGGTCTTGAGGCTACGTTGTCTGTAACATACAAATATAAAGTCCAAATTATAGCAGCGTCCAAAATATAATTAATCTTTTGTGCAGAATATTTTATATCCGATGCGTACAATACTAAAAAGCTTTATATAAATATGGAACAATTTTATAAATTATAAAAAGAATTTTTTTTCGGATAGTAACTTTTATAGAATTTATATAAAAGTCTTTCCTTTTAATGCAAGATGCCTCTCCTTGGCCTCCTCCTCCTCTCAGAATGTCAAGGTCGCTACGTTGATCTGTAACATGCAAATAGAAGATCCAAATTGTACCAGCAAAATATATTCTAATAAAATAATTTTATAAATTTTGAAAACGACCTCTACTAATAACTCTAATAATTTTATATAGAAGCTATAATCTAAAAGTAGAAACTTTTACAAGATTATAGTTTTCGTATAAAAATCTTTTTCTCTAATTTTCTCTTGTTTAAATCATATAAATAAAAAAACAAATTATGCAATTAATTGCTCAATTTAAATTGCGCGTATGCAATTAATAAGTAATTAATATATAAATAACAATTTACTTACCACAGGGTTGCTCCATCGGTGCCCGAATAGAAGTCTAACGCGAAGACGCGACGACGCGAAAACGCGATACCGCGACAACGCGACGCATCGTTGCACGTGCGGCACGATGACGGCAACGACGACGCACCAATTGCGTTCGACACATAAATGCGCGTGCCACATATGAGCCATTGTGCGACTCGTGGCAATGCTGTGTTGACACGCGACGCGAAAGAGCGAAAGCCATCCGCGGCACGATGACGGCACTGACGACGCGACAAGCCATCCGCGGCACGATGACAGCACCAACGATACGACGAACCGTCCGCGGCACGACGTTGTTCTCTGTGTCTTCGTGGCACTCACATTCACTCGCGAAAACACAATTAATTATATGATTAGATATATGTAATGATTGCGAGACACTTTGCACGGCACTCTCGATCGCGGAACAATCATACGAGATACTCACTCACAATCAGTTTATTATACCGTAAGATAGAGCAATATACAAGAAGTCCGATTGTAGCGAATTATATTTTAATACTTGTCACGATCGCGTTTAGGAAAAGAATTCGACGGTCTTCCCCACTACAATACTGTTCAAGAGTCGCCGTGCGAATAATAACAAGGCCGTAATATATAAACAATAGCTATTGTTTACGCCGCCAAGACCGAATACCATGTTATTGATAATTCGCGGCCGAAAATATTTTGCGTACTATGACGTATATATAAACGGAATATTAAATTATACAAGTATTTTAAATTATTGCTCAATTATTTAATAAACGATTAATGTATCACGGAGCTTATCGTTATGTTAATTATTCGGATCTGTGCTTAGACTATTTTATTGCGTGTTCTCAATCCGAATCTTATATAGATCGTCGAAAAGTTGAATGAAAAAACATCGGACGAAATATATTTAATTTTAAGTATTTTTAAATAATTGTTGCCCAGAGAGTAAAAGAAAGAGAGAAATGATTGCAATGCTGAGAGACATCCCATTTAGCCGGCAACAAAGTATGATTCTTGATAACAATCATGAAAACGAGATAGAAATCCAACGCGAAGACGCGACGACGCGAAAACGCGATACCGCGACAACGCGACGCATCGTTGCACGTGCGGCACGATGACGGCAACGACGACGCACCAATTGCGTTCGACACATAAATGCGCGTGCCACATATGAGCCATTGTGCGACTCGTGGCAATGCTGTGTTGACACGCGACGCGAAAGAGCGAAAGCCATCCGCGGCACGATGACGGCACTGACGATACGACGAACCGTCCGCGGCACGACGTTGTTCTCTGTGTCTTCGTGGCACTCACATTCACTCGCGAAAACACAATTAATTATATGATTAGATATATGTAATGATTGCGAGACACTTTGCACGGCACTCTCGATCGCGGAACAATCATACGAGATACTCACTCACAATCAGTTTATTATACCGTAAGATAGAGCAATATACAAGAAGTCCGATTGTAGCGAATTATATTTTAATATTTGTCACGATCGCGTTTAGGAAAAGAATTCGACGGAGCGTCTTCCCCACTACAATACTGTTCAAGAGTCGCCGTGCGAATAATAACAAGGCCGTAATATATAAACAATAGCTATTGTTTACGCCGCCAAGACCGAATACCATGTTATTGATAATTCGCGGCCGAAAATATTTTGCGTACTATGACGTATATATAAACGGAATATTAAATTATACAAGTATTTTAAATTATTGCTCAATTATTTAATAAACGATTAATGTATCACGGAGCTTATCGTTATGTTAATTATTCGGATCTGTGCTTAGACTATTTTATTGCGTGTTCTCAATCCGAATCTTATATAGATCGTCGAAAAGTTGAATGAAAAAACATCGGACGAAATATATTTAATTTTAAGTATTTTTAAATAATTGTTGCCCAGAGAGTAAAAGAAAGAGAGAGAATTAATTATTAATTATATCAAATTATTTTTCGATACTTGTCGCGATCGCATTTAGAAAAGAAATTTGACGGAGCGTCTCGATTATTATATCACTGTTCAAGTGTCGCCGTATGAATGATAAGAAATAAAAAGTGGCAGAGGAATTTGACGAAGCGTCTTCCCCTCTACTACAATACTATTCAAGTCTCGCCGTGCTAATAATAACAAGGCCGTAACACATAAACAATAGCGCGCTATTGTTTACGCTGCCAAGGCCGCATACCATATATATTATTGATAATTCGCAGCCGAAAATATTTTGCGTACTATGACGTATATACAAGCGGAGTATTAAATTATACAAGTATTTTAGATCAATTATTTAATAAACGATTAATATATCACAGAGCTTATATATTCGGATAATTTTTACTTAGATAAGGAAAAAATTTTTATCTAATTTTTAAATTTGTATTGAAATTGTTCGAATAAAATGTGTCAATCGAATAATGTAATATAGATTTTTTTCCTATTTTATATTAATTAGCTTTACAAGGATCAAAATCGCATTCTTTTTTTTAGAGAGAAAGGGAGAGAGTGATGTAATTTTATTTGCAAAAATCTTAATAGTAATCAAGTAAAATTAAGTTCAGAAATATAAGAGAAATAAAAATTTTATAAAAGTTTTTATATGTATATTCAATAAATGCACTCCGTGCATTAGACACTATTTTCGGTCCGAAGCGTTCGGGGGACAAATAAAAGGAATAAAATAATTTTGTTCTTCAAGCGAAAATAGTTTTAAGTGGAGCTATTCATTGTCATGTATTTATTTTCAAAAGACTTGTAATATTAATTATCTTGTTGTTTTAATTACTTACGTTTATATAAATTTGTATATAATAGCTTTTAATGTATATCAATGCGCACTAGTGCATCCAACTTAATTTAAAAATTAAGAAATTAATTAAATATCTTCTATACGTTATATATTTAAAAATTAGGGAAAAATTTATTAAGAAAATTAATTTAAGAAAATTTATATTGTCACATGCGCATATACATAAAAATATTTCAATAATAACTTATTATCGTTGTCCGTAGTATAGAATATATTAGAATGGCAAAATATCGCAGTTAATAAACATTAATAAATCCATAATATTTATCCGCAATTTTAATCCACAATTATGTATTTAGCGTGGACATGCACCAACCGGCCGTTTTACCGTGTCACCGAAAAGTGAATCTGGCCATGTGGTTCCGCCGGCTGCAAAATGGATCTAGTTGACGCTATTGTACCGGCTAGAAAAGGGGTCTTATGAAAAACGGCGGCGTGACCCCTTTCAAGCTTCTCTCTGATTGTACTGTCAAGTTCCTCGAAAAGCGCCATCATATATGGCTAAAGAAAAAAATACACGCGAGCATCTATATGTATATTTTTTTTTTTAAAGAAAAATGATACAAGACAATTTCTTATATGTAAAACGATACATTTTATATTATTATATAATTGGTTTCTCATTAATTTATCAATCCAATCTTTGATTAGTGTGAGCGGAGGTTTGTCTTTCACATTTCGTCTTTCATCTAAATAACGTTGGTAAGCGTGAATGAGAAAACAACACGTTGTCAGCATTGCCGACAGGTTAGAAGTGACAACAAGTTTTAGCGAAAAATATCTCAATTAATGAGACAATACAGTTTTGTCACGTGTCGAAATATACACCTAGTAAGTAATTAATTATATGGAACATGCATTTATATATTCTTTTAAAATTAATTCATATCAATAGAAAGATTTAACAAGTCAGATCCTACAGTATAAGAGTATAAGTCGTCACTAGACGAAGCTTAGCGCAGATGATGCCAACCTCTGAAGAATGTAAAAAGCGCGCGAAATTGGAAAGATATATAAACAGTAAAAATAAGATATATAAACTGCAAGAAAACTATAAATACGAGTATAAAGTATATATAAAAATGTTATTATAACGTAATTATGTATAATCTTTCAAAAATATTTAATAAATCGGAAATATATTTAACAAAAGTCAATATAATGTAATATAGATTTTTTTCCTATTTTATATTAATTAGCTTTACAAGGATTATAATTATATGTTTTATTAATTTTAATATAAAGTAATGTGTTACAATTATGTCAGCAAAATGAGGGTTAATCCTACAGTAGACTTTTCCAACGACGTAACATTGACCAAAGAATTTTTAATTGAGATAATACACTGTACTTAACATTCATGTTGTTGCAGGATGTCGAAACCTATAGTGTTCGTGACGGGCAACGCGAAGAAGCTGGAGGAATTCACCGCCATTTTAGGAAAGAACTTTCCCCGGCAGATAACGAGCAAGAAGATCGATCTGCCGGAGTATCAGGGCGAGATAGACGACATATGTCGAAACAAATGTCGAGCCGCGGTAAATCTGGTCAAGAGTCCGGTGATCATCGAGGATACGTGTCTCTGCTTTAATGCGTTGAAGGGTCTTCCGGGGCCTTACATTAAATGGTTCCTCGAAAAACTCGGCCCCGAGGGTCTCCACAAAATGCTCGATGGATGGGAGGACAAATCGGCAGAGGCGGTTTGCACGTTCGCTTATTGTTCCGGCGAAGCTGACGCCGAGGTCCTTCTATTTCAAGGTCGAACTCAGGGCACCATCGTGAGTCCACGAGGTCCCCGAGATTTCGGCTGGGATCCTTGCTTTCAGCCGCAGGGCTACGATATGACCTATGCGGAATTATCGAAGGACAGCAAAAATAAAATTTCTCATCGCCGCAAGGCGCTAGAAGTATTGAGAGATCATTTTATAAACAATGCGGTTTAATTTATATATTGTATCAAAATTACTGTCTCTCTCACATTACTGTGATTCTTATCGTTTCCGTTTTCAAGTTTTTCTTCTTTCGGATATCTAATGTCGTGCTTATTATAATTTTTTAAGAGAATGACAATTTTTCTGAGTTTGTTACAACTTTGCAATAATTATATAATTAATTATGGAGGCACATTTTTTATATCTTATAAGATTTATTTACTACATTATAATCAAGATGACTGACCTCTCTCTGGATTCAACGGCGTTTATTATAACTCTTAATCCTGAGTGGAATACAAGTTGTTTTGTTTTTACTTTATAACTTGTGCTCTGACCTATAGTGTTAACGTTCGATATCCGTTCAATTTATCAAAGATGATTTTCTTCCGAAAATAACGTACGGATTTCGATGTCTCATTACGATGATAGTTGTCGAGTCGCATCGTAAACATATGGAACAACTTATTGGTAAACTTGAAACTACTATGGTACCACGCGACTGACAATCTGATAATTTTAATTTCTTCAAATCATGCGATGTGTTTAATCGACGACTTCCATCTTGCAAATCTTATGTGACGCAACAAATTGAAATATAAAGTCATAAATATATATATTGTAATCACTCAGTGGAAGATATTGTTAATCATACGAACGGATACCTTCGTACACAAGTACTCATAATTAAAACTGTGAATTGCATGTACATGAATAATCACCTCAAATCATTGTCGCTGTTTAATTGCTTTATTTAAACAACACGATTACGATTACCATTTACACTTGAAAATTCGATATGATTCAAAGAAACTAATATTTAAATTCCACTGAGAGAAGATTATAGATTTAGTCAACATAATGGCTACATAACGAGAAATAGAAATTATTTTATTTTCCAATATAATTATTGTCTAATAAAACGAACAGCACGATGTTTGTGAGTGCGAAACCACACATAAAATAATGATAAGCATAATGTATATATTATACACATAATACAGCGAAACGCGACAGATAAATATACTTTGGCATGTTGTTACGTGAAAGCACTGGTAAACACACAATCGTAGTTCGTTTTCTTTTTATATATCAAACTGCCAGATAATTATTTAATTTATTCGATATTAATGGAAAAATTGTTCATTTAATTTGCCGACCGTAATTACTCATTATCATTTAATGCAGAGATACAATTGCAAGAAGAGAACAGCTCTCTCGAAGTTGTTGAATTATTTCGTTGCAGTATGCAGTAAAACATGCATTGAAAAAATAACAGAGAATATGACGGTATGATAATTGAAACAAGAAAACGTGTAAATTGCTCTACGCTAAACTTAATCCTCTCTGTCTTCTCTGTTTTTTCTTTTATGTTAACAAGAGATGATAATACCGTGTATCTTACGTAAAATCGCCACGGTGTTCTTTTAATAGCGAGTCGCGCTTTGAAATCAACAAACGCAAGGAAAAAAACACAAATCTTTCTACCGAGCAACTGCAATCTCTTGTGCACTTTCATCTCGGCTATTCATATCTCAAATCGTTATTTTTGCGAAGTTGATCTCTTTTAATAACATCGTTTTTTGCAATATCGCATACACTTTGCATATTTGCATCTTATTCGATTATCTCATGATCGTCGAAATATTCCGACCGTTCGGATTAGAGCAGAAGAAGAAGAAGAAGAAGTTCCGACTGAAGAAGAAGAAGTGTGTGACGATCGTTTCTCGTCGCTGCATATGAATCACAGGTGATGCGATTACGTGCGGTGTATAAACAAAGATAAGATCGCTAAATAATTATCTCGAGAAAAAAATAAAAAGAACTAACAATAAGTTCTGTCTATACGAAAAATAAGACAATTGAAGAAGCGCAATGACGGGATCAATCGCGATTGAACGGAGATGCTCACGTCCGATATGCGAATTATTCTTGACATAAACGCGCGTGTTTTTATTAATATATACAAGCGCGACAACTGTAGAGCTCGATGGCCGAAAGGGTTATCTCCTTGATTATACCGGCATGATCTTTTTTTTTCTCTTTTTTCTCTCCATAACGCGCGCATAACACCCTCCCGTTGCCGGGTTATCGGCTGTGCTTTTGCATTTTACCGGCAATTGCAAAACTTCTCGCCCTATAAAAGCGAGAGAAACGCACGTACGCTACCAGTTTCGCGACAGGGGCCACGCTACGATGAGTGTCCTTACCGGTAAGTCACTCACAGCAAAGAATGCGAAAAGTGTCTTCGTGTTTATTGTATCGGTCCCGCGAGATGCGTTCCAACGGAATTTGTCCTCTCTCCTTTCTCTCGCGATTTTGACAATATTCTTTACATGAAAAATAAATGCGTCTTCTTCTGATTACACATTTTTAGAAACGCTTGGTGATAAAGAAAAGAAAGAGATGTCTATTTTGTGAATTTTGCGAATTTTCACAAAGAAATAACTAAGAAAATCGACTGAATTTTTATACAGCTTATTTGAATACATAATATAATTTTACAATTAGATAATGAAAATGTCATTACGTCAATATAAATTTTATATTATTTTTCACAATTTAAGAGAATATTTTATATATGTTTTTATTTTATATATATGTTATATATGCTTTTCTAGTGTATAGTACATTATATAAATGTTTACAGTATTGGTGCTGTGTCTAGCAGCCGCATGTGCGGTGCCAGGTAAGTTAAATTTTATATTATAATTTTATGGAACATTAGAGAAACAAGATGCTTAGAAATAAATGAATTTTATATTCAATAGTCAATAATATTACATTATTTTATTTCTTAAAAAATTTACCCGATTTCTACATATAAAATAATGTGCGAATTAAAGAGAATCAATATCTAATTAAATAAAGATTATTAAAATGTTGCGCAGAAATTTTTCTCTAGCAAGATTTATGTTTCGGCAACATTATCCAAAAAAAAATTTATCTTATCGTCATGCATTGCGGTACATTTTTTCTTGTAATGAAATTTAATTATATCAAATATCATACCTGTAAATATTGAAATATTTTTTCAGGAAAGCTTAACCATTTCCATATATTAATTCACTGCTTCGTAGATTGTAGTCTATAATGTAATTATTGTATATATAATATAATAATTATTATTATTTAATACGTGCTTTAAACTGACTTATTAAATGCAATTAATTTAAATATTTCTCAATATCGCAAATATTATAAATTATTTTATAATAATCAATAAAGTGTAACTTGCTTTAATTATATATAACTATTATAAACCGGAATATTATACCGGAATATATATGTTAGGATGTATAAACGTAGAATTACGATACGCTAAAGATTATAAGATCTCATTACATTTTAGTGCACTTTCCTGCAATAATATAAAGTATGGCATGTACAATGGTAGACTCGTCGATCATGAGCCGGTCGAGGTGGTTCACGAACTCGGAGAAGCCACGCAGCAAATTCAAGAGCCATTCGTAATTGTCTACGACGATCATGGCAAAGTAAATGTCCATATTCTTAAGGCAACAGTCTAAAAAAAAAAAATTTTTTATCGTTTGTGCAGAAATAATCAAACGGTTTTATATCCTGATTTTAGTTCCAAGGTATCAAAATGCTGGAAAGCGAGAGCGTTTGGTCAAAGAATATGAAGCAGGGTATCGCCTCGATGTTGCAACTGGCTCGGAGAAGCCACGCAGCAAATTCAAGAGCCATTCGTGATCGTCTACGACGATCATGGCAAAGTAAATGTCCATATTCTTAAGGCGATAGTCTAATAAAAAAAAATTTTTTTTGTCGTTTGTGCAGAAATAATCAAACGGTTTCATATCCTGATTTTAGTTCCAAGGTATCAAAATGCTGGAAAGCGAGAGCGTTTGGTCAAAGAATATGAAGCAGGGTATCGCCTCGATGTTGCAACTGGACTTAGCGCACATTCAATTACAAACCCCGATAAAGCCGCATAGTTTCATCACGCATGAGGTAGGTAACGACTGATGGGAACATCCAGCGAAACGGGTTTAATGTTCTCTTTGGTTGTTACCACTAGAATACTATTCACGGTACCTGTCAAGTCGCCTACGACGTTCACTCGGCGAACCCGATAAATCCGGAAACTACCAACTTTGTGGTCACGAAACTGCATGATCTTAAAAACTGCAGCCACTTTGTTCAGCGTGTCTTTGATCACGTCGAATGCGAAAAATGTCACGTGGAATCTATGGTAATTTCCTTGTTTTTTGAGAATTCTGTTCATCCATTAAATGTTTACTTAAATTCTGGCTAATTGTAATTAATATCTTTTCTTTTCAGGATGATATGACCACCGATGCCAGAAGAGTTTTCCAGGTCGAACAGCAAGACAATGACATTCTCATCAAACACATGGTTGCTCATTCAGTTATCAATTATTTTCCTTTCAATGCTCAATCCGAAGCTCACTATCTCTTAACCAAGTAATTATACGATAATTATCGCACGTGCTATACTAATCGCAAAAGTGTGCTATATTAATCCTATTTGTTACTTCAGCATTACTCTAGATCTGCATTCTGTGGTGCCATTGATGGAAACACCTGTATCAAGCATGAATTTCCAAAATGTGCCTATAATTCGAAATATATATTATAATTTTATCTATAAGGAAAAATTATTATAATTAATATTGTAATTTTAAAGGAACATCTTCCTGCGAATGGTTCCAACTGTGGGCACGACTGCTGCCTGTCACTTTACGCGAAATGTCATTCGCAAGCACAAAGTGACTGATGCGACTGCCCTCGCAATGTTGATAAAATTACCAATGCATGTCAAAATATCATCCGAGAGATTGCTTTTGGAAATGGAAGAGCTGTTGAAATTGGACAACACCGTGTCATCTGATGTCAGGAAAGCCAGCATTCTTTGCTTCTCGATTTTGATTCGCAAAACATTCATGCATCAGCAAGGCGAAATCGTTAATCCTCTTCTTGAGAGGTACCTTTATCGTTTCCTCGATCATATTAAAAGTAAGTATTATATTAGCTTTGATCAAATGCTGAAAAAAAATTTATAATGTAAAAATTGATTTTAAGTTATAAGATTTGCATTATATACAATACACATTATCTAGAATAAATTTTATAAATATAAATTTAATAAGCACATGGCTCCCTTTTTGCAAATGTTTCAGATGACCAATCATACAAGATGAAAATGGTGTATCTGATGGCGATGAAAAACGTTCAAGTGGGCAACATCGAGAAACTTCTGGAGCCGATTATTCGCGGTGAAGTTATGATATCCGAAAACCCGCATAATATTCGCATTGAGGCAATCTGGGCGATCAAGAAAGCGGTCGCCAATAAAGTCGAGTATACTCACAATCTGCTCTGGCCTATTCTTGCTGATGTTACTCAACCGCTATCCATTAGATTAGTCACTTATGATGTCTTGATAAGCCAGCTGCCGAACATGCAACGACTCATGAACATCTACTGGCTCATGGTCAACGAATATGATGATCATATGTACAATTATCATTATACTACTCTAAAAGGTCTCGCCAATTCCGTGGATCCTTGCCTCACGCCAGTTCGCGAGATGGTCAGAAAGATCTTGCGCTATACAAAAATCAGACCGGTCACCACTGAACTTTCGTCCAAACATTTCGTCGACTACATAGATCCTGTGTACAAACATGGTGAATCTTTCAACACCGCTTGGATTCTCGATCAATTGACCGGTCTGCCATATGCTGGATACATCGAACATCGCGTATCGGTCGCTCGTAAACCCGTCGAGAAAATCGGCGTAAGTAATATGACGATTTAGCATAAATTCATAAAACATTAATTTTGTCTCCTAAGCCTCAAAGATGAAAGAAAAACGTTTTGAGTTTTTATATAAGTTTTATATATGTATGATTAAAAATATTTCTGTAGAATTTGAAAATAGGATGAGCGCACAAACAATTCGCATTATATTTCTATAAATTCTCTGTCTTAGATCTACTGGATTGCCTATGGTCTGGACGACATCATGAAAATAGTCAAGAAAACATTAATGGGCACCACAGTGGAAAATCTCACCAACAAGAATGTGCAGACCATCTTGATCCGCGCCGCTCAAGATATGCCGGTGAAGAAACCGATTCAAGTCGACATCTGCATCACGCTGAACGGTCATACGATCGTCGTCAAACACTACGATCAGAATACCTTCAAGAACGTGTTTGACGATACATTCCAGATGAAGCAGACGATGGTCAGTAATTTCCAGGAGATCATATACGACACCCTCTACGAAATGCAGGTGCCTATCGACATGGGTTTACAAGGAGTTTTCACCACCAAGATGCCTCAGTTGATGTCACTCAAGTTTAACAATATTCATACCGAAGTCAAGAAACCGTCCGTCAACATGAAGGCCGAGGTCGACGCTCGCATCTGGAGGCACGGCGAATACGTCATGTCGATCTATAATCCCATTGCTGACGTTTGGCATTCGATTCGCCGTGCTACCGTTCAGGACGTCGCCGTACCCATAGTAATGAACTTCGGTTATAATCACGAGACAAAGAGTCTCAAGGTCACCATGCCGAGATTACCGATTACCAAATTGTCGCATACTGGTATACGATATTACGCGAAGAATCTGGTGACTATCACTGAAGACGAGCAAGACATTCTCAAGACCTGCTGCGCTACCTGTCATCACCATACGGTCGCAAGCACTGGTGAAAAGATGAACTATCACGTCGCTGTGGATTCCAAGGACATGGGCCTCAAGTACAGCATGTCGATCTTTGATTGCGAGAACAAGGTCACTCCGACGACCAACGTCCAGGAATGGCATCGTGCGATGTCTCCAGAACACAAGAATACTTGGTAAATATATCATGCTAAAATATTATACTCTGATTATATCAATTTATCGAGTTTTCCTTTTTGTTTATATTATAAAGAGAATAATAAGAGCTAAACCGGATTAAAATATAATTTTATAATAATTATTGAGACAACTTTTCAATGAAAAAAAGTTATCGTATAATTTATTTATGTTAGGAACTCAAAAATCGTTCAACACTTTATGGGCATCCGTCAAAAATTGTTCAACGACTACATCTCACCGGCAATGGGTAGTTGCGGAAGGATCATCAAGATGGAACCGAGTATCGTTTATCCTACGTCGCATGTGAGTAATCAAGAATGTTGTTTTATGAAGAAAAAAATGATTTTGGAGTTCTTATTTTCTCAATTTGTTCTCCAGGTCGATTTGAATCTAAGAGTCAACGTAGACGATGTTGATCACCTTCATGATAAGATACATACTTTCAATAGCAAAAAGATCAACGTACGCGGTACTCTCGACGCCAAGGCAGCTTCCACGAGCGAATCTGTCCGTACGTGGGACATGAACATGAACATTGATATGTCACAAGGACATACAGTCAACAACGTCAAGATTCAAATGACGAGAGAGACGCCAGGAGAAAAGAAATTGAAGGTTAGCTAATCAAACTCCAAATAATAAATAAAAGATCTAACAAGTTTAAATAATATCATTAATTATAAATCATATGATTGCTTTCTATTTTTAGATCTGCGTGGATGTTCAAAAAAACTACCCTGTTACCGAAACGGATCCCTTGAAACTCGACACCACAAAGGAAGAGACCAACACGAAGATGGCCATCACCGCGGGATTCACGGACGACGACAAATGCGTCCGCGATGAAATGTTGATCATGATGACTGTCAAGGGTGAAATGACGGAGGAGCAGAAGAAGCAGATGACACACGACAGTGTGCACGGCTCCTGCATCAAGGACATTCAAAATCCGCAATTCCAGACCCAACAAGGCCACATTCCCAAAACTATGAACTGCATCCGCGAGACCGTACAATACACAACCATGAGGAAGTACACCATCAACACGTTGTACAAGAAGGTAAGAGAAAAAAATATACATGTAACACGCATACATAACATACATACATTCCTTTTAATAACTTGAAATTATTGCAAAATTTAATAATATGTAGAGAGCATAAATATTTTAAAACCATTCAAGTATTTTACTATTTTTTAAAAGTTTCTTAGACATCTATAGACATTGTCTAATTTAACTTCTTTACGGAAGGATGGTACACATAATTTTTTTAAATATTTATAAACAAAAGTAGTGAGTGTGGGGTTCAGATATTAATATCACGGATAGAAAGAAAATGAATCTCTCTTTTCTAAATAAGAAAATAAATGTAACTTCAGGTACCTGTATCTGTGCTCTCGCATCTCGCCTTGATCGAAGACTCCATCCGCGCGTCACATTTGCCGCACGTGAAATACATCACGGATCGTGCTGAGAGTGGCAACGTGAAGGTCGTGATCGAGTTCCCCTCCGATCTGAACCATGTCAATGCAACCGTCGTCACTCCGGTCAGCGGATACGAATATGTCGAAGTTCCTTTGCGCCAACAGCTTTTTGAGGGCATGACTGCGGACAAGCCGGAGATAGGATGGCACTTTGTCATGGACAACACTCGTTTCTCCGTAACATCATTGCACAAAATGATGCAAGGCCAGTCCAGTAAGTCATCATCGAACTCCGCTGGCGCGATTAACGCTTTTACTACTTATATTTAAACATCATTGTATATCACTCAAAAATTTCATGTTATTTCATCGAGCGTCTTTATCTCACAGAGATCTGCACCGTCTATCCTCAAACCTTGGTCACCTTGGATGAGGACGTGATTCCATTCGTGTCCAATACATGGACTCTTGTATCCGGCGACTACGTCGACCAGACATATGCCGTTTTCGTGAAACCCGTGCAAAGTAACACGCTAGCCATCAAGATGTACGTTGCCGATCACGAGATGATGATCGTGCCGAACGAGTATCGTGCCGTCGTTACCGTTGACGGCAACGTGGTCGAACAACACGAGAAAGGTGTCGTGGTGCCAAAGGACGAGCCGAATTCGTACGCGATCAGGTAAGTACGATGAATGATCGATCGATCGATCGATCACCGAGTTCGCGAAAACGATCGCAATAAAATATGTTCTCTCGTAGACTCACCGAGAACAACGAGCATCTCGTGGTCCAATCTCAACGGGTGCCGATAATGGTGATGTGGACCCCCAACAGCGTGACCCTGATGCTGGATACTGTTCTTCAAGGTCGCGTGAGCGGCGTATGCGGACACATGGACACTATGCATGAAGAGAAACTTCCCAAGATTTACACCGTCGCGACTCTTTAATTCGTAATATAACGTTTGTATCCATATGTAATTCTCTCTCTCTTTTGTTATCAAAAATTAAATCCAGTCACATACTATTTTAATGTAACGACGTATAGATCTAGAACACGATTTCTATTTAATAAAAAGATATGGTAATATGATAGTACAATAGAAGTACACACACACACACACAGAAAGAGAAACAATAAAAACCTTTATTTTTCATTTATCTGAGTTAATATTTAATTCTTTCTTCGATCTAGCAAAATATTTAAGGACGCCAAAAAAAGAACATTTTTTCATCATTTCCTCATTTAAAAAAAATTCTTGTATAGATGATTTTTCAAAACATTATCAATCTCTCACCTCTCCCCTTTTCCTCAATACTACATCTCTATCCTTAAGTATTTATATTTATTAATCATATAGAAAATTCTATTTATCTATATATTTTTCCACGTTGGTGATACTATGACATTTATTATCAAATCTTAAAATAAATTATCACTGTCAATAACTAATAATTAATTGAAAACCAATAATTTTTGTAACATTTCGCTTATGTACTATACAATATGACGATAAAGTAAGTCGCCTCCGTGGCGCAATCGGCTAGCGCGTTCGGCTGTTAACCGAAAGGTTGGTGGTTCGAGCCCACCCGGGGGCGTTTTTTTTTTACTACATTTTACGATTCTTATATACCGATAATATTATCTCTATATTTTTGGATAACCTTACACACGCACATAGAACTCAGATAATGCTGAACAATTCTATAATCTCAGTAATATATAGTTATAATTAATATTAAAATATTATATTATAGTTATAATTAGTATTAGTATTAAAATATCATATTATAGTTATAATTAGTATTAAAACGATTAATCAAAATCTTGCAAAATGTTAATGTTCTACAAGGTTTTTATGATTTGATTTTATAACTTACAACATAATAATCATCATCAAAAATTAGGAGATATGTGTATTATCAAAATATATAATGCAATTGTACATATATTTATAATTTTTTCGCGTTTATAGATATAATAATGATTTAAAATTGTTGCGCAAACTTCCGATGAAGGCTGCGGTCGAAAAGATGCTAGAGATGTTTCGAAGCATTGCATTAACCAATCAGAATAAAGAAATTTTTACTATTTTTGTTCTGATTGGTCAATTAAACGCTTCGAAGCATTTCTAGCGTCTTCCTGACCGCAGCCGCAGTCGCAGTACATTTAATATCAGCAGACCGTGGCGCTTATATCGTGTCCACTGGCCATTTTCTTATCAACGCATGAACGCCACGCGAGAAGAAAACCGATTATTCCAACCCTAAAGTCACGATTTATTACGTAAGAATGCTCTGTTCTATATTATAAGCAATTATTATCGAGTTTAACTCGATTTTACACTAATGGCATAAGAGGTGGACATTGAAATATGGAATCGGCGAGACGTGTTCAGTCTAGCCGGTCGACGCGCTACTCCATTTAGGAAATGTGCGATGATATATAATTCTCCGAGTGTGTGTGTGTGTGGATATATATAATTAAGATATAAAGTATATTTACTATTCTATTATCCTTTTTTTACTTTTGTGTGTGCGATTAAATTCAAGTATTCCAAATATATATTTTTCTTAAAATTTTAGGTTAGAACAGTATAACTGCTTGGAATTAGCTAAATTAGTATATCAAATTTCATCATATTATACGACATGTATTGTTTGATATTTTACAGATACCATATACTTAAACATGGCAGTACAATTTTTCAATCGAGTGGGTCAGCTTGGTTTGGGCATAGCTCTTGCAGGTGGTGTCGTTAACTCTGCATTATACAATGGTACATTTAATATTTTTTATTTCATGTGTCGTGGTCAGCAAAATTATTTTTTTAAATTGACATAATTCTTTTTTTTTAGTCGATGGTGGTCATCGAGCAGTTATATTTGATAGATTTGCTGGTATAAAAAATGCCGTGATAGGGGAAGGAACACACTTTCTTATTCCTTGGGTACAAAAGCCAATTATTTTTGACATCCGTTCACGACCGAGGAATGTTCCAGTCATTACTGGAAGCAAGGATCTGCAGAATGTAAATATCACTCTTCGTATTCTCTTCAGACCAGTACCCGACTCTTTGCCTAAGATATATACAATCCTTGGTGCGGATTATGATGAAAGAGTACTGCCATCTATTACCACAGAAGTATTGAAAGCTGTTGTCGCACAATTTGATGCTGGTGAATTAATCACACAAAGAGAAATCGTGTCTCAAAAGGTCAGTGACAGTTTAACAGACAGAGCTGGACAATTTGGCCTTATCCTGGATGATATTTCCATCGTAAGTACATTTACTCTTATCAATTATATATGTGTTGACATCATTACAAAAAGATATACTGTTTCTTGCATTTAATGTACAAATTTTCATTGTTTGCCTTGAAATTTTTTCAGACGCATTTAACATTTGGTAAAGAGTTTACCCAGGCGGTAGAACTGAAGCAAGTGGCACAACAGGATGCGGAGAAGGCTCGTTTCCTGGTGGAAAAGGCTGAACAACAGAAGAAGGCGGCTATTATTAGTGCTGAGGGTGACGCGCAAGCCGCGAGTTTACTAGCGAAATCGCTGGCCGAGGCGGGAGATGGTCTGGTCGAGCTTAGAAGAATCGAAGCAGCGGAAGATATTGCGTTCAATATGTCTAAGTCTCGTCAAGTAGCATATTTACCATCAGGTCTAAATGTGCTGCTCAATTTACCGCAGTAAAATAAATACATGTTGTGTTTACATGAATTGTGCATTTACATCGTGAAAGGTTTGATGCTGTAATAGAGTGTAAAAAGGAAAACAGTATACAATATATAATTGCATATATACAATATATAATTGCATATATAATTATATATATATAACAGTATATATCATAATGAGAATTTCCCTGAAGGTGTTGCGTAGCAGGAATATATATTGTTTCATAACATTTATGCTTTGATTTATGATAGTACAGATTTGTAGATTTATATATCCTTATTCTTTTTATATATAGTTATGGGAACCCCAATGTTAAATAGCTATGCCTTTGTGTTACAACAATTGATATCTGTTTCTCTAATTTTTACACTATAAAGAATGTCCAAAAAATTTGGATATCTAGGATATCGTATATTTAAGAGAGAAATAGTCTTCCATAAAATATTATTCTTAATAGTATTTTCTTTTACACATTTATTTCTACAGTTAATAATAGCACATATAATATACAATGCAACGCGAACAATACAAAAATGCCTTTATTATATATAAAAAAAATGTCTTATAAGATTATTTCTCGCCCAGATTAATTTAATGAACCAAGAAGTAGAAATACATAACACTCACATGTGTCAAGATGTAATGTAAACTTATCCCAATCGTACAGATCGTTCTTGTGTATGTAACAAAGTATCTGTTACTCATTTAAACATTAGTTTCTTTTTTAGAATACGGAACATGTGAGTAATCTTTCATTTGATCTGTATCTGAGACGGAATTTAAAAAATGCGAATTTAACTTTTTAGTTGCAAACTGAAAAAATGTCAACATATGCTTTTTAAATTTATAACGAAAATCTTCGGACGGGAAGATGATGCGTTCGTTTGTTCCGGACGATCCGTTCGAATGAACGCCATGATCAATCAGGAAGTCGAAATTGGTGGAAGATTATCTCGGTTGGGGTGCTTATATCTCGCCTCTGTCGGCACTGTTAATAGAGAAAACAATTCATCATAATTTGGCGGCCGCCGCGGGACGCCTTTACTCATGGTGGTCCACTGTAAGAACGTAAAGTTTACACGACGATGTCGGTTATACTTACATGTGTTTCGGTTACCGGTATTAATACCCCGACAGATTTATTGCATGCCTATCTACCTACCTACGAGAGCGACTAATTGGCGAGCCAATTCATTTTTTAAAGCATCTTGTATTCTCAATATTTTCCAATCCCTTTTTTGAGAAGAGATACTTTTTACTAATGTTATTGATCGATTGTAAGAGAATATATAATTTAAATTTGCGTTTGAGTTAAAATTATGGAGAAAAAGAAATCTGATATCTTTAATCAAAATTTCACACATAACACATTAATTAAGAAATATTCCACCCGATTATATTAAACATATATCGTCGCAAAGTACGTGACGTTTGCTTCATAGTTGTGTGCGTCGCGCATGATAATAATATAATATAATTTCCGCAAAGTATATCATAGAGAAAGAAAGAGAGAGATGTAGAGAGGAAGCACCAAGGAGGGTTCGCGGTGGCAGCAGCACCGGGCGAAAGCAGATTAGCGTGAATAATGAAGACACGACCCCGTGAAAGCCTAAGCGGGCCTCCTTAAGTCTGTTCCTTCGAGTAGAAGCCGAAGCCGGAAAGAGAGGATGCTGAGGAAGGGAGGTGGAGCGGGCAGAAAGGACGTAGAAGCAGTTAATTACTCCTCCCATCCACGGGATAACGACTTCCCCTTATTTGTCGAGAGGCGCAAACAGCCAACCCTCTGCGAAATCCCTCGCCAAGACGTTTTCTACAGTGCGTATACACATATACATTTGACTCCATACCTACGTGTATATATACACGCTACATATTTGTAGATATCTAATATACATGTATGTTCGTATAGGCAGACGCGATCAAGGACCATCCGGTCTATCTTGAAGTACCGTTTCCCATCGATCTGTACCTCCATCGATCAGTCAGTACTTCGCGACGAAGAACTTGACGTCACCTAGTTACGAAGATGCAACCCCTTAATTCAAGATAGATCGATTTCAGGACGCTGGTAAGACGATCGGAATGCAGGATATTTCGAGAGAAAGATATTGCAGCCAAATTTAAAAGAGATCTGGGTGATCTAAGTAACTGTTGCGAAAATGATAAAAAAAAAGATGATTAGATAGATGATAACAATTAGATAAAGTAATTATATATGATACTAATTAGAAAACTGATTAACGCATGATTTTTTTTTTTTTTTTTAATTTTTA